TGGCGTTAGACCTGGCAAATCCACCATAGACCAGGTATTCACAATACGCCGAATCTTGGAAAAGACCGCGGGAAAAGGATCGACACTCACCATCTATTTGTCGACTTTAAAGCCGCTTTTGGCAGCACTAAAAGGAGTTGCCTTTACGCCGCTATGTCTGAATTTGGCATCCCCTCAAAACTCATACGGCTGTGTAAAATGACGTTGAGCAATACTACCAGCACCGTCAGAATTGGGAAAGACCTCTCGGAGCCGTTCCCCACCAAACAGGGTTTCAGACAGGGCGACTCCCTTTAATGTGACTTCTTTAATCTGATGTTGAAGAAGATAATAAGAGCTGCAGAACTGAACTGCTCAGGAACAATTTTGTACAACAGCGTGCAATTGCTGGCTTATGCCAATGACATCGATATCATCGGTATCAAAAACCGCGAAGTCTGTTCTGCCTTTTCCAAGTTGGATAAGGAAGCATAGCGAATGGGTATGGCGGTAAACGAGGACAAGACGAAGTATCTCCTGTCATCAAACAAACTATCAGCACGTTCGCGCCTTGGCACTGTTGACAGTTACAATTTCGAGAAAGTAGAGAATTTCGTTTACTTGGGAACCAGTATTAACACCGATAATAATGTCAGCATGGAAATCCAACGCAGAATCACTCTTGCCAACAAGTGCTACTTTGGACTGAGTAGGCAATTCAGGATTAAAGTCCTCTCTCGACGTACGAAAACTGCGCTCTATAAGTCACTCATCATGCCCGTGCTGGTATATGGCGCAGATGAGGCGGCTCTTGGAGTGTTTGAGAGCAAGATTTTGCGGAAGATTTACGGGCCTTTACGCGTTGGCGACGGCGAGTACCGCAGACGATGGAACGATGAGCTGTATGAGCTTTACAACGACATGGACATAGTGCAGCGAATTAAAATACAGTGGCTCCCCTGGCTTGGCCATGTCGTTCGAATAGACACCGACGCTCCAGCTCTGAAAGTATTCAACTCGGAACCCGCTGGTGGTAGGAGAGGAAGAGGGAGGCCACCACTGGCCTGGTGGAGAAGGACTTGGCTTCACTTGGCGTTTCCAATTGGCGTCAGTTGGAACAGAAGAGAAACGACTGGCGTGCTTTTCTGAACTTTGGCGGTTACAGCGCCAAATAAGAAGAAAAAGATGACGAGAGTTCTAGCTTTAATTTAAGCCTAAGTGAAAGGTTCTATCACGTTTTGTTTCTGTTCTGTTTTGTTTTCCAAATATAACACTTTGAGCTTTTAAAAAAACCTTATATGGAAATTGGCGCATTTGTAGGCGGTTTTTGTTTATATTAACACCTTATAGGAGAGAAGCTCGGCCAAACACTAACATATGTGTAAGCGCCAATCTATTATTATTATTATTATTATCATTATTCTTATTATTATTATTAACACCTTATACTAATATACACTAAGGAATCTTTTATTCCATACCTGAAAAAAAAGAAAAATGCTACCAGATTCACTAGCAGCAAAATTTTTGTTTATTGAAAAAGTAAAAAAAAAAAATTTGAAGTCAGTGAAGTTGGATGAAAATATTAAAGAAAATTCTTGCGCGTTTCCAAACTGCAAGAATTCGGTACACCTGTGCAAAGGTTCCAAAATAAAATTTTTGCTTTTCCGAGGATAGAGCTCGTAATACAATCTAATGCAATTTGGTGACAAATTGCTGACGTAGAATATTTTTAAACGATGTACCGTTATCCATCGAAGAGGGAGGAGGTCGAGTTAAAATGATGCCCTCCAACTTAAAACAGTACCAATTTTTGGGTTCCCGGAATTTTCTGACAATATGTGGCGATGCTAAAAAATATATATACATAAATATAAGCACGAAACTAAGTATGTATTTGTGACAAGAATCATCCACATAAGATGAAAACTACTTCAGTTCGGTTAGTTGTAAAATGCTCTTGGGTTATCGTGTCCAAACGCGTGAAACTTCAAAAACTTATTTTTTGTCAAAAATTTTGAAATGAAACTACCTTCTTTTTGTATCATGATACACGATAACCCAAGAGCATTTTACAAATAACCGAACCGTACCAGAACTGTCTTACTTATACACTTTTCTATAAACAAAAATTTTATGAAATGAATCAAGATACAAAAAGAGGGTAGTTTCATTTCAAAATTTTTGACAAAAAATAAGTTTTTAAAGTTTCATAAATTGTACAAAATTGTGAACTACCGTACCACATTTATAGCAATTAACCAATACATCAGAGGATTTAATGTTGTGCGTGGGAAATGTACGGTTATTTGTACAAGGATGCTTTGGTGGGGATACAACGCATGATACAAAAAGAAGGCAGCTTCATTTCAAAATTTTTGACAAAATGGGGTCAAATTAGCATTTTCGCAAAGGAAAATTTAACTTGTGTTAGGCCATGAGCAGTATTTTTGCGCAAAACTTCTTTCCGCGGTGGTGGCCTTCGGCCGCACCAAAAAAAATAACCTCATCAGTCCAACTCCGGTTACGCCATGCACGGTATTTTTGCGCAAAATCTAACTCCAAATTTACAAAAATGAAGTGCATATTTCAAACCAAAATCTTTGTTTTAAATTAAAGCTTTATCCTTTGGCAAGACGTGCATATATGTATGTTAAACTTTTTTGATTCGGGTCACGCGTTTGGACACGATAACCCAAAAGCATTGTACAAATAACCGAACCGTACCCGAACTGTCTTATACATTTTTCTATAAACAAAAATTCTATAAAATGAAGCTGGAGTAGTTTTCATCTTATGTGGATAATTCTTGTCACAAATACATAGTTCCGTGCTTATATTTATGTATATATATTTTTTAGAAGCGCCACATCTTTATCAGAGAATTCTGGGAACCCAAAAATTGGTACTGTTACAAGTTGCAGGGCATCATTTTAACTCGACCTTCTCCCTCTTCCATGGATAACGGTACATCGTTTAGAGGTTTAAAAATATTTTGCGTCAGCAATTTGTCATCAAACTGCATTAGATTGTATTACGTACTCTACCATCGGAAAAGCAAAAAACTTTATTTTCGAACCTTTGCACAGGTATACCGAAATCTTGCAGCTTGGAAACGCGCAAGAATTTTCTTTAATATTTTCATCCAACTTCACTGACTTCAAATTTTTTTTTTTACTTTTTCAAGAAACAAACATTTTGCTGCTAGTGAATCTGGTAGCATGATTTTAGCTAAATGTCATAAATATTCTCATTTTCGTTGTTGGTGTTTCCGACAGGGTAGGAGTGTCAGTGTTCGTTGAGAACGAAAAATGACACTGAAGATGGCACAACGCCGAAACCGGTTTGTCTCCAAACCAAATTTGACAAGGGATGACGGAAAATCGTTCCACATTACATCAAATGTCATAAACTTGTTAAAAGTCAAGTGGTCGGCAACAACAACGAATGTCAATAAATGGCACTACCTTCTATTTTAGTATCATGATTACGGTGACCATATTAACTAACGTAAAATAAAGGAAATTTTTCTCAAAATGATTTGGGAATACGTACATACAGCTTGTATGATGAAAGTACCTTACCCATATCGTAATTAAATCAAATATTTATCAGTTAATTATATTATTTAATTGTACAAGTTCCGTGCTGTAGCGAAACATGAAGCCAAATCTTTTTCAAGGACTTCGCAATCCTTTGTTACCAAAATGCGTTTATCATAATTCATACTGCGCGACGAAGCCAGCACACAGTGGTTCAAAATTGGAATATAATGTTCATAATACACCGTAGCCTTTTCAACAAACTTTTACTAAAAAGCAAACAAAATTATTTTGGTGCACATTTTTTATAACATTTCAAAATCTTTTTTGTGTATTTTTTTGTTTTGGGTGAACCATGATAAAAACACTAGAACGTAAAATCATTCTCTCAATTCGTCGGCCATGATTTTTTTCTGACGTTTTCAAACATTTTAGAATCATATAAAATTGAAAATAAAAAAAAATTAAATTGTTCACGATTGTTGTTGTTTGAGATTAAAAATGAGAATGTGTGTGTGACATTGAGTTCGAATTTTAAAATTATATTGCTGGCAAACGTCAGACTGCCTCTCAATGATTTTACCTTGCAATGTTTTTATCATGGGGTGAACCATACGATTGTTTTCAACTAGTTTCTGTTATGTAACATTTATTAACTGGAACAGGAGAATACATTTTCTTCAAAACTGCTACTTTTTCTGCATTTTGCACAAACTAATTTTATTTAATCAAATAAAAATTCAGAAATCAGGCTCAACTGGTCTATTGCAAATATTGTAACCTTTCATAAAAAAAAAATTAAATTAATCAAGTGAAGTGAAAAATGCAGGCTTCGGGGAATTACGAACACTAAATGCCAGTTTTGAACCACTGTGCAGTAGGAGGTTTATTGTTCTCTTTCAGTGGAACTGGAAACTCAGCGTGCAAGATGATCCTGGGCACAACTTTCCCTGTGCTTTATAGATTGTACAAAGATAACTGATTAAATAGAAACCCATAAGTGGGGTGCGAAACAAACTGGCGAAGGTTTTCATTATGTTTTATAAGGGACATTTTTATTTTTCATATTCTGTGTTTAAAAATTTACCTCTGAAAAATGCAGAGCCGATTTGAAGGACAGTTTAAGAAATAAAGGACAAAAGGCGTCCTTTATTTTGAAAAAAATTAGAAAGGACAGGGGGTTAAAATACAGGACTGTCCTTTAAAATAAAGGACGGATGGTCACCGTAATCATGATGCAACGTATGAACTGGAAGCTTATTTTATAATTGAAGCTAGTTCATTTTAGCTCTTTCATAAATTTTGTTAATCGTACTACTTTATATATTTCATAATTCAAGCAATGTGAATAATAGTACATCTGTTCTCTAATGCACTGCACTAAAAAATTGTATGTCCTTACTAAGACGAACATGCACGAATCTCTGGAATGCGTACAGATTGTAAGTGAACGATGCTTTATGTACTTTTTAAATATACCTTATAAAGTGGTCTAGGAGGTTCAAGTAATTCAGGTGGCGTCGACAACGTACCCCAACGAAAGGCTAGTTCGACGGAGTATCGTTTCCACGCTTCCAAATACAACGAAGCCCATGCTACATTGAAGAGAGAGAAAAAGACATGTCCCATATCTTGCGCTGTTTGTCCTTTAGCCCACAATGCTGCATATAATATCGTTCCAAAAACAGCTGGAAGTCCTAAGGCGAACGTGTAATGTCCCAACCAAGCAAAGTACAGGGCCACTTTCACACCAAAGTATTCTGCAATGTCATCTAATAGTAAAATTAATCAATAATTTTGATATAACTGTAAGAAAATAAGTAAATTACCAAGCGGTTGCGGAGCAAAAATCTGCCTCACCCAACTGCTTTGCAGCAGGGCCAAGGATCTTGTTTCGTGTAGCGGGAACATCTGCACAATCAGGCCGGTTTCTTGCCAAGCAGCCACGATGCTCTGTCCTTCGGCTACGGTTGACCGTCCTTGTAACGCTTCAATGTCTGTTTGACCAGCGCGGAGGCCTTGTAACACCTGCAGGACGAGCCATTGTCGCTCTTGTGAGGTGAACAGGGCATTACTTCCGTCTTCGGTTTTTAACTGTTGAAAACAATGGCTTTCGCGTGTCGTGAATTCACGTAAGGCACCTCCTAGGTCAGGACGCAATCGTTTCGGTAGGCGTGCTTCTTCTGCGGCTTTGAATAAACTAAAAGGTAAATACATAATGAAATGAGTGTAAGCAAATCAGCGGAATATAGTATTGTCTTAGGCTACGATTACTGTGCCTGCGTATTGTACTTCAAACATTTGTGGATCATATTGCTGAGTCAGCGTATTTGTTCCGACGATCGAGCGTGGATTGATGACACATGCAAAACACTCGTAATGGCTTGCACTGTTGCTTAAAGTATGGCGCCACATAAGGCACACTTGGCGCTTGCTAGTACAAACGCAAGATCGGGTGACGAGCGATATGGGTCAGCGCATACTACACGAGTGACCAAATTAAATAAAGAATGAATGTAAATAAGGGGAAATAGCTTAGGGAGAACCAAGCAATGTGATTGGTTACTCATAGTAAATAAGATATTTTATAACTAAACTATTGTAATAGATTGTAAGCATGTTGTAGTATATATATCGGCGATGAGCCGAGGAATAAACGTTCTTTCACTCAACTCCCTTTGACGTGTGTGAATCACAAACGAGCGTAATACGCTTGAGCAAAGCAGCCGGAGGGCTTAGAATAATACTCAAACCATTACAAATTTAATACCAAATATTACATGGCGGTCCTGCCAACCGTTCAGGGAACAAGTCTGATAGGTTTTGAAAGAAGAACTTAGGTCCTGATGACAAACATTACATTACAGAGGTGAAAAGAGTCTAAATAATGACATCGCACGGTTAAAACCAAATTAGCTGTCCAACAAAATGGAATGTTTTCATGCTTCTTTGGAAACTGTAAAGAATGCTTGGAGGAATATTTCTCTTTCCTAGAGGGATATTCCAAAGTATAAATATCAGTCTTTTGCTAGCCTAACTCACGCCCTTCTAATTCCTTTGCACTCTGCACTAGGAAATATATTTCCCTTTTGCATACATGTTCGTCTGCATTACATAGCAACAAACTGTGGAAAGATGGGTGGCACTCAAACAAAGGAGGAAATTGTTAACAACAATAACAACAATGCGGTCGCAGCAGTAGCATCCGCTTCACTGCAATTTGATATACCCACGAAACTAATCATTTTAGTACTATTAAAACTTAATGCGCATTATAAAAAATATATAAAGAAACATGCGTATAAGAGCGTAAACAATAATGTATAGCATGAATCAATTTTACTATAAATATTACATTAGGGGTATTCTCCAAATCTTGCAAAGCCCTTGCACGTAGCACGGATTGGATGGATTGCATAACTTGCAAACACGCTACAACAAAATACATGGGAAGCAACATTTCCTATCGCTGCAAAATATGCAACGTCGAAACCCATGTATATATTTTGCAAAATAGCATAGCAAGATAAATGCGTCCCTATGCTAGTTGTTTTGTTGTTGGAATTGCTACATATTTCTCTCATTCCTCGCATCTCGCTCACTTCATTTTTTTTCTGTCCCTAGTTGTTGTATTTGATACATAATTTCGCTGCGTGCTACCCATGCATGCTGCCACTTTGCAATGGGGTGCTCTCGTACTCTTCGAAATTTGGAATAGTATTTTTGCATTTCGTGCAATCGGTGTATCGTGCAAGACTTCGAGAACACCCCTATTAAATATTAACATGCTAATTGCAACAAATATATATGAAAGAACTAAGGTCTAGGTTCTTAAAAACATTACATACATACACGAGTAAATTATTAAGCAGAATTTTTAAAGGGGTATATGGAGTTTAATAATTTATATGAACTTTTAGAGAAACTTAAAAAGGCACCGATAAGGAAGTACACAATGGTGTACCTAGAAAAAACACAGCGATACCTATCTGATGCATAGTTAAGAATACTCGAAGAAGCGCCTAGTGATGATGAAGGGTTAAAAGAAAAATATGACCGGTTAGCCAAAGAGATAGGAAAGTTTTTGGTAATCAAAGAAGATACCTCTGAAGAAGAAAACATAGCATCATGGCATAATTTAATTTCGTAAAAGCCTCAAGGATAATACCGCAGTTCCGCGGTGAACAAAAAGACTTAAATAACTTTTTATGTTACATAGAGTTTTATAGCGAATCTTTAAAAGATGATGCTCAAAGGAAAGTGCTAGTAAAATTCATATTAATCACCAAGCTTGCTGAAAATGTAAAAAACAAATTAATAGCAGAACAGACACCGACTGGCCTACCAACCCTAAAGAAAGTTTTACAATCAGCATCTCAACTTGGTGGAAATTTACGAATTTTGGTGTATATCTGATTAATTGTACCAAAATTTACAAATTTGCACCAAGTTATATACCAGTGTGCTACTTGAGATATAAGCCCAACAACACAACAACGAAATTGCATGCAGACATTGCCAGGTGCTATCAAGGTACGCAATCAGTCGAAGATACGCATGGAGAGTTTATTAGCTGCATTAAGGGAACTACAGTTGGCAGAGCAAGGTACCGAACACAGGGAGATTATTGTGCTGCTCAATGATCAAAAGGTCTATCAGCTTTTAAAAATGGTTTGTCTGAGCCTTACAAGGCAGTAGTAGCAGCAGCTAGTCGACGCAACTTCTGTACGAGATCAGAAGCATAAAACTAAGAATTGAAGGTAGCCCTAGAACAGTGGTCAGCAGTGATCGGACTTAAAAAAAATTCTGTGTGGTAGAATCCGGAAAAAAATGTGGTAAATTTCAAAAAAATGTGGTAAATCTCAGGTTTGGATCAAACTTTGTACAAAAATTAAAGAAATTCTGTAAGGTTTCAACTAAATTGCAAACCTTTTAATTAGACTCTAAAAAAAATTGAATTTAGTATAACAAAGTGCAAGATTGAAGTTGCTAAAAATTGCGTTGAGTCTTGGCAATTTTTTTCCTTGGCAGTCTAAAGCGGTTCCTTCCATATCAAGATATTTCTCAAAAATCGCCTTTTGTTTAAATTTTCGCTATTAACCCTTTTTATAAATCATATATTTTAATATTTAACATAATGAAACAACGCTTGCTGTCGAAAAATTTATTATTGAGAAAATTTGCTATTTTACAGTTTACTTTATCCTCCCATTCGCCTTTGTTTACTTTTACTTGAGAAATTTCATCGCCGCAGGGAATGCGGAATCTTGTATATCATTCTTGTTACCATATAGTGTTTAGTGTAGACAGTTTTTGCTCTTAAAATTAAGAAAATTATGTCGAGCAAATATAAAACTAGGTAATCAAAAACTCGAATATGTAAAATATATCTGCTCCAAAAAGCAGGTTCTATTTTTTGTCTTACCCGTGACAGAAGAAACAACTCAGTAAGTTGTAAAGCTTTAATTTTTTTCGTATATTGTAATAAGAGCGTGTGTGAATCGGTAACAACGTTCGCGGCGAGTAAGTTTTTGACAACTATGAGGTGAATAAAATTTCAGTAGCTCATGAGGCTAGTGAAATTTTTGACAAATTTATAGAAAATTTTGACAATCGAAAAGATTGTTGATGTGTGTAATTTTTCGTTAAAGCTTAACCTACAAAGCCTAAATTGATGAATTGCAATCAATGATGGCAGATGTTTTCTTAAAATATTAATTTCACTTCAAATTGCAATATGTTATTCCGCATAAATTTGCGGTTATCAAAAATTTACTGTTGTCAAAAAATATTTCATTTCACACAGCAGATTGGCAAAACTCTCTCACCATAGTAAAAATATTATTTAACAGCTTCCCCATAGAACTTTGTTACCGATTCACACACGCCCTAACTCATATAATAGTCAATTGGGTGTAGCTTTATCAAAATGTAGAATTCTTCAGTACTTTATACTTAAATTTAAACAAGAAAGAATATTTTTTCTGTACAAATATCCCACCCGTGACGGTGGAATCGCCCTAATACGGGAGTATCATGAATCATTGCAAGGAGGGTGTTGCGGAACAAGAAGGTGCGTGAGCAAGTTGAAGCAAAGGTATGTGTGGAAAAACATGAGCAAAATGGTTAAGGAATTTGTTAATAACTGTAAAATTTGTGCTTAAGTCAAGATAACGAAATACACATAAGAAAGGTTTCACATAACGGAAACGCCCAACACATCTTTTGAGGTAATCACAATAGACACAGTAGGACCGCTGCACAGTGGTTGCTGTCATAGGCCAAAATTAAAAAAATGTATGTAAAAATTTTTGAACCGAAATAGGCTTTGCAAACAGTTATTTGTCCAAACTTCATGTTGTCATACATATATTTTTTGTTTTAATTCTAAAGGTTGTTTCTGAAAAAAGCAACAAAACTGTCATCAATTGTCCATTTTATTTGTACAGCGTCAGCACGCTGAAAATTGAATTGGATTTAACGTAATTAAAATATTGCGAAAATCCGAGTGAGTGAAAATTGTATGCAATGGATATTGTACATAAAGGTATTCACTTTATTTCTACAATTAAACCTTTTGATAATTCGTGTTGTGTTCTATGCAAATTGTTGTTTTAGAAAAGTAGGATTTTGTGTGTTTCTTGGTTCGTCTTTCAAGTATTTAGGTAATGTTTTAAGTGTGTTTCCCCTATCGGCCCTCAATATTTTTATTTACATATTAGGGGTATTCTCCAAATCTTGCAAAGCCATTGCACGTAGCACGGATTGCATGGATTGCATAACTTGCAAACACACCACAACAAAATACATGGGAAACGACATTTCCTATCGCTGCAAAATATGCAACGTCGAAACCCATGTATGTATATATTTTGCAAAATAGCATAGCAAGATATATGCGACCCTGTGCTAGTTGTTTTGTTGTTGGAATTGCTAAATATTTCTCTCATTCCTCTCATCTCGCTCACTTCATTTTTTTCTGCTGTCTCTTGTTATTGTATTTGATACATAATTTCGCTGCTTGCTACCCATGCATTCTACCACTTTGCAATGGGGTGCTCTCGTACTCTTCGAAATTTGGGATAGTATTTTTGCATTTCGTGCAATACGTGCATCGTGCAAGACTTCGAGAATACCCCTATTGTTTGTTAATATTTTATGATTATAAAAGTGTTCAGTGTAGATGCATTGATCTGCAGAGGCTCGCATAGTATTCCATAACCTAATCCAAGCTCTTTATTTTCTACAGTTT